ATATTAATTAATAGTGATTAAACTAAACTCAATAAAAATTTATGGTATATTCGGTAGACAATGCAAGTGGACCGAAAATTCGCTTAGCACAAGTGCCGAAATTCTGATGTCAATTCGGATCGACTCTAACTGGCACACATGGTGCTGCATTCTTACATTGTGTTAAATTCAATTTATGGCTTTAAGCTCTCGATTTAATTGGTCTAGTCGCATGTGTATCCTGCAAGTGATGGGAACAAGCACCTGAAGATTGCCAGCCTCAAGGGGTTTCCCCCAAAGGTTGGTATAACAATGGGCGTACGTCTATTTATGGATAGCGATTCATGCATCTCTTTGTAAGACTGATGTTACATCACCGCAATGGTTTTTTTAAGTTAATAAATTTTTTTCCTTAGTCCAGCCAAGCTTTCTCACGGCTAGCAATTGAAATTCGAATTTCATATCGTATGATACAGTCGAAAAGGCAGGTCATACCACGCAAATATCAACAAGGCGCCCCAATAAAAACAAAAAGTACATGTTTCAACAGTACTGGTTGTGATAGACGTAAACATCTATGCAACAGACCATTTTGCAATTTATGCGATCTAGTATAATATTACATGTTTGTTTGATAATTAATGGGTGAAGATAAATAGATAAGCAATAAGCTTCCTTTTTTAATGGGTTGCCTAAATTAGCAGTAACTTAACTTTTTCCGACGCTTAATATTAAAATTTTTTTTATTAATTAAAAAAAGTGTAATTATTGTTGCAAACAACATTTGGCTATTAATATTAATTATTAACACATTTGTTATTAAACAAGACTTTGTACATTAACAATTTCGCGCTTCTATCAGTGATGCATTATTAAAAAAAGTAATTTTATGGATTTTATCGACCAAAGTTGTAAATAGTAAAATACCAAGTCATTATTTCTACAATATATTGACTAGTCATTCTATGTTTACAATTGCTTTCTTTTTTGAATAAGACAAATTTACTAATCAATTTAATAATATCATTAGTTGGTTTAAAAATGTGTAGTCTCAATGTGACTTTACTTATAATAATTCAAAAATACCATAACCAAATATGATATAGTCCACTTTAATTTGAGGCACGTGCATAATACTGCAAGTTGTAGCTTAGCATAGCATACACAATCGATTTTGACGAGTTTGTGGGAAATTCGTAATTACTATGTTTCTAATCGAGAAAAAAAATTTTTTTGACAAGACAGTGTGTCTGTTTACACATTAAATATTAGGGCAAAAGGTTGTAAAAACATTAGAGAGTTAGTAATTATACAGGACGAATGGGCTTAATTCTCGGACGTCTATATAGATTAAATAAACCTGATGGCCAATAAAATATCAAGTTCGTAACAGTTTATCTCTATCTTCGTAAATAACAAAAGTTTGTCGTCACAAGTTTCAAAGTTGCTTGAACCCGTTATTCTAAATAGGCATTTATAAAAAAAGGCAAGTAATTTCCGCGTAATTCATTAAAGATGGTCGGGAAATTTGGCTAGTTTCTGACATCTTACATGATATGGATGTTGTCCTAAATTTATCACTATTTTTATAAGTTGCTCATAACTTGCATAATTAGATGCCATCTTTTACGCAATGTTATTACTTAATTAATTTTTTTTACAAATGTATTCCACTCGATTTGATATTTCCCGTAAGCTTAATGATATTCCTTCTTTTCCATTCCTAATGCCTCTCCATTTAATACGATCCACGGCGCCTTCAACAAGTATTTAAAATATCTTCTTTGATCAAACTATACGTAAACGCCGTTGGAGCTTCAAGAATATGTATTTCAAAAATGAGAGGCGATTAGTCTGAATCATGGTGACGTAAGAAGTAAATATTCAACCAATCAGTTCAAAAAAAAATTTTTTTTCCTTCAACAAAGTAAACTTTTTCTTTCCGTTATGCGTTTCCAACAAACTTTAAGGTGAGTCCGTGTCTTCAATCTTTTATTAGATAATAGACTAGAATGAGGATTTGAATTCTTTCCCCGTCTTATCGACCATGGTGAAATTTGAAAGTTTGCTTCCTTGCTGAGGAAGCTATGCCAGTACCTATCTGACTAATAAAAAAGAAAGGAAAGCTGAAACTGGGTCACTGTTTAACAGATAGAAAGTATTCATTATTTTTTTACTTTTTTAATGACAGGTGACGTTTTTGAAGGTGGACACGAACGCTTCAAGCCACTAATAACGTAGTAGTAAACAGTGACTATCATTCAATAAAAGTTTGATGTTTTCGTATTTGGATTATAAGTAGTGAGTTTACAAATGGCGTTTTCTAAACAATTTGCTTCATAAGCCGGTATATGGTGGTTTCGTAGGCTCGCTACAAGTTTTTAGCAACTGGATTAATCGCATTCTATTTCTCGTTAGCGTGACTTTTGGTCACAGCTTATATCCTGTGAATAAATACAAGCGAACTCGTGCCGGTTTTCGTTTCTTTCCGTTTGTTCCAGTCTGCTTTAATTTCGCAAACTCGTCGCATCCGTGATCATTCAATGATACAAGATTCATTGACTCCACCAAAGTAATCGGTGTCAAGGACAACCTACGATAATGACGTATTACACACAAAAGCTGAGCATTCTTAAACTCACTACCAGCGATCAGCCCGCTCACCAAAATGGTCATAGCGATGACAGGTATCAATACGTTCCCCGAACAGTTCTCTTGTTGGCAGTAGTCGAATATCGATGGCAGATCCCTCCTACCTTTGGCTCAACTCTACCGTAGTTCTGCAAGCATTCTTTAGTATTTCAGAAATGATATAGTCCAAATGCACAGGCATAAGCAAAACGCGTATCCGTCTGACCAGTTGTACGTATTTCGAGAAAAGATCCATAATACATTTCATACAAATTTTGAACAAAGTCTGTTCTAAGAGTGTCAATTATGCCGATAAAGTTTGGATCAGATCTGCCATGTAAGGCGATGTGTTGTTCGCGCGATGAGATGGGGGTAACAATGCGGACGCGAAAGGGTTCCGTGCATGCCTAATGTTTTACGCAATGGCATACCTCTTGCTGTCTGATTCGTAAATTCCTCATCCGTTTCTTCATCTTTGATTTCAGAGGAGGGGGGGGGATTCCTGATCACGTCGAATAAGTTACGATCGTACTGACATCAAGAAAGGTTACTGTGTTAAGTGGACTTGAATCAGCTGTTTCAATGTCACTGATGCTTGAGCATACTGTTGACAACCCAGGAATAAAGTAATCAGGCACAACTCGAGAATGACAGTATCGCGCAAGATCGTAAGACACGGTAAATAAAGTATAGTGTTCAGCGAGTCTATTGTCCTTTACGACAGACGACAAGCAACTATTGCTCAGCAAATAAGAACATTTACCTTGTTAATTTCGGTGTTGTAAAACGAGATACCCTCGTTTGTGCTGTAACAGCATTGAGTTATTATAATCTGCAAACTTCGATTATCAGGAAATAATTTATTGAACAAGAGCGCTCAAGAGTTCTGTTCGAACTTGTCTGAACATGCATAACCTGTAGTGGTATAATTATAGTCTATATAGACTATAATTATTTCGGACTATAACTACCCAAAATGTGTCGTGACGACAAAAATCTGACACCGATATCTGGTTATGTTAATGCTACCAAATATGTATGCTAAGTATATCACCTGATGATGAGGCACGTAAGCGAGAGATATGCGAAAGAGAAGGCATAGATCTTATTTAATACCATATGATACTGATTTATTGCCATATGTAAAAAGCAAATTGCAAGAAAAGGTTATTCATCATATAAAGAATATATTCGCAAAACTGCCATGAATAAGGGTTTCATCATATAAAGGGGCTCTTATTCATTGGATGCTTAAAAACAATGCAAAATGATTTACGAATCGTCACGTAACAATTGTCGTATTATTTGTTGTCATAGCTCATACTTCAGTATTTATTTGTTGTCGGTTATGATTATAACTCGTCTTATTATTATGGTTAAGCCAAGATTAATCGCGCAATGATTACTCGCACAACGGTTACTTCGCGATGTGATATTATAATGAACTCCTTTAAACCTGTGGACTATCTAATGATTCTCAATGGTACAGAAGACAATTTAATATGGAAGAAAGGTGCTGGGAGGGGGAATGAACCAGCTATAGTTTTACCCGAGGGTGTTTATGAAGTTGAATTTATCAGTGATACTAAATAAAGTAATAATGCATTAATAAAGTAATATATGACGTCAATTGTTGACGTTATAAAGGGGTTAGCTATTTCATAATATTACGGCCATGGCAGTTTATATAGTCACTTTGTTGCTAAATCGCATCCGCTAAACTTACCCGAAATATTAACCGAATTTTTCTGAAAAATAGAGCACTATATCCGACCTTATTCATCAACAAATTTTGGTATCATGTGTGGGGTCGATTATCTGGCGTTGTGCGGAGTTTGATAAAAGAAATCTAGTGCAATTCGAAAATTCAAGAAAGTTATGCGTGGAAATCAAAAACCTCTTTACTGTTCTAAGCTATTGCAACACGTTCTTCATGAATGTAAAACTTCAGATAGAACTTTAATCAAGATTGCTTGCGAAACTCCCAGATTACAATGTCTCATTCTTAATGACTGTAACGGTTTTTCTTATGAATTCTTTGAAAATGTGGCCTAACCTAAAACATTTCAATTTGATATTCATATCACTAAAAAGGTAAATTTATCTATATTGATGATAGAATACCGCGTAAAATTATAAACCAAAATCTTTTAAACTCTGATAAATCTTTAAGCAAAATCGCCGATTCGTGTCCAAACTTGACTATCTTACTAAAGATCCCCTCGCAATTAGATTAGATTGGGATACGCCTTAAAATTGGATAAATAGGGTTAGTTTCTGCCCTATCACATTTATGCTCGTGTTATATTATATTCCATATACAGGTACATAAAAAAATCGCGTGTACATTCTGTTTTTGACCTACTTCTGTACTTCAAGTAAACATTTATTCATTTCGACTTCTGTTTTTTTGGTCGGCCTGGTGATGATTGGTTCTGCTTTATTGTATGTACCCATCGTTTGGTCAGCAACTTTTGCTTTTGTTCAACATATGCTCTTTCCACTTCGATATTTTCTCTCATAAAGGTCTGATCGTAAACCGGCATTAGTAAAGGGCGGTGAATAAGTGAATGAAACACTATTATGTACTCACAAAGAACTTAAGACATGATATGATTGCTTCGGACAAAACAGGGAAATTTTGCCAGGCTGTGGGGATCTTGAAAGTTCCATATTCGCGAAGATAATATGATTTCTGATATAAAGATACTTCAGTGCGATGACCGAAAGCGCTGAAACTTGCAAGATTTTTGTGATCATATATGCCGTCTTTAAGTTGAAGGATTATTCTTTGGTTCGGCACATCTCTCATTGTTCTAATCAGCTTATAATCATGAATGTAAAGTTGCATCATATCATCGAAGTTTGGGGGTCTTGTTTGTTTATATAAAAATACTTCTTCATGACTTGGCCAAAGACGAGCAAGCCCATCTGCACATTTCGCCTCTAAGACTGTATCAATGATTGGATTGATGTTTGCGTTACGACGATCTTTTACTGGCACTTCAAGATTATAACGTGTAATTTCGTAAACTTAATAAATGCAAGTCTTTAGTGTATTCTTCAATATAGGACTAACGAACTGAGCATTATATTGATTTTCTTGTAAGTCCCCTGACTTCAATATGTTATAAGGCGCTTCAAAGGCTTCAATACTAAAAAAAAACTCAATAATTATAAACGTTTCACTTACAACGATAAAGACAATAAAATAAGGAAAACATAATATGGTGCAAGTATATGTAGATTGCATCTGCCAAGTTTGTTTCCGTTGATTTTTTGATTATGGAGTTCACGCCAGTCGTTTATCCATTCTTCTAGACTAACCTTTGGCTTATTTTACCATCATCAGACAAAATAAATAAAAATAATCAAACTAAAAGCATTTCACCTTTCCCATGATTATGACATACCTTGAAGAATTCTTGTATAAAACTTTCCCAATCTTTAGGTAGATTATGTTCGGAATATGTACTTAACACAAATTCGCTCCAACTATGGCACCCTCCCCTCGTGGTTCTTCACTTTTCTTGGCTGCCATTGTTGATTCTTTGTGCTGTCGGTATAATAAAATCGTTAAAAAATTAAACTCAAGAAGAAATTCAAGGTAAACAATTTTATACCGGAGCTTCATCATCTTCAGTTAATACACCATCCTGCATTAATTGTTTTGATAATCTAGTATTTCAGAACTGGCAGTTTTGAGGGTAGTGCGCGTGTGACGTTGCTATTTGCATGTACAAATTCAGAGAATTTAGAATAAAGTAATTATCTGGCATCACTTATATACCAAACAATTTCATCAGTGTGATAAAAACAATCCTGCTTATAATCGTTCGATTTTGTTGCATTTTCGAATGAGTAATGGACAAATCTGTTCTGCATAATTTTCTATATTTTGCCTACGACTAATATAATAACAAATTACTTCACTTAATAGCGATAACTCTTACATTAATTTCCTTCACTCGAGTATTAAAGTTCATAGAAATAAATAAAATAAATAGGTTAGTCATACTATATCATGATCAGAATATGCAATGAAATTTCATACAAAGTAGGAACGTGAAGCTTCTTCATGATTTAGGAACGTAGAAAACTTCCGGGTTTTTAATTCAACACCAAAAAATTGGTGGAAGCGGAACCCCTAAGCATGTTCGCATATGAGCAAAACGAAACTTTGACACTGATTTAGGAACGCGCTCATAAAGCGACTTCCAGGTTTTCAATTCGACACCCGAGTAACCGGGTGGAAGCGGAACCCCTAAGCAGTGCTATGTTACCAGATTTAAAGAAAACCAATGAAAAACTTTACTTGCATGTTTGTATTAATATGAGACAATAATAACGCTCATGTGCCGGACAGAGAAATTCATGTGATCGAAATTTTCCATAGTGCGGGACTGTGACGTTATTTTATACGTTTTCTTGAGTTAATAATATATAAGGGTAAACAATAGTCATTTTGGTCTATTAATTCCATGATATAACAATATATTTATACCAGTTTAGTATTGACGTTCTCAATGGTGGAACAAGCGTTTTCGATGACAGTATCGACAACTTTTATAGTGCCACGCATTACTGATCTAGAAGCTTTTTCCTGTTGTCATAAAAAAATACAGTCAATATGGGCATAAGTTTGATTAGATATGTCAGAAAAACCAGTTGATAAAAAACCTCCCTCAAAACGTATCAACGTCACTAAAGTATTCCCGATGCCCTATAATTTACATAAAATTAGTATTCGTATAAATAAGCACAACTAGAAGCATGGCTAGAGGCAAGCACAACGGACAAGCAGACCATAAGGTGAACAGCAAGCAGGTGTTCACCGTAGTTGTGTGGGTTTTCCTTTTTCCACAGCGGGCAATCAGACCGTAAGGCGGACAGCAAGCAGGTGCCCACCGTAGCTGTGGAAGCCTCCCTCTGCCTGCCAGCCATGCAGAAACGACAATAGAAAAAACTTTTCCTTAAAACTTTCGTTAAGTAGACTAGCACCCTCCTTACGTGTCGTGATGACAAAAAAAATGTGACACCGTCATCATGTGCCGTGACACAAAATGTGACACGCCAGTGTCGTGATACATATTTTATGACACATTTTTAACAGTATGAATTTGATATCGTCGTCATGTATTGTGCTTGTGCTCAACGGTACTGTTTCTCTTATTGTTCTCAACAGTACGAAGGATAATGTTTGTTATTTTGTGTATTTCTTTGGCTGCTTGGTACTATTGATCCAGTAATATTTAATTGTCTTTGGGCTTTGAGCTTTGCGTTAACCATGTTTACGAAAGTATAAACAAAAAAAGAGTGTGCGTAAACAACAAGCTTGCGCTTATGAAAACATACTAACTGGATATGAAATTGATCGCATTTTGTAGTATAATTATTATTAATAACGAGTATTTTTTAAATCTTTTATTTTTTCTTAACACACTGTATCATGCTATGTAGACAATTGATTCCCTCCCTAGCAAGTTCTACTAGCATCCAATTTCACAACAATTTTCTGTTCCGTTCATACTTTTCAATAGCTAGCGTAAAGAGAGAAATGCTTTATTAACAGAGGTACCTTTTGAATCTGCATATTTCAGACGTGCGTTCAGAAAATAATGCTTCTTACTTTGCTCGTAGATTTATACTCTCTCTTTCTCAAAACTAAAGCCGGGAACAAAAAAATATTTAGATCTTGTTAAATCTGGGAAGGTCTGGGAGAACTATTTTCGCCCGTTTGAATGGCGTGCACAGGATTACGGTACGAACAGTAAATCTTAATGTTTTTGCGACTTTTTGCTCGGAATGACAATTATATTTTTTTACCTCGTCAATAGACTTTTGCGCAAAACATTCTGGTTTTCTGGATGAGATGTCTACTATCAAAAATACTATCGAGATTCCGGCTGAAGAACTTCAACGTATGATTGTAAGTTTTTCGCATCAAAGTTGCGTCATAGAGAGAAATTCACTAGGAAGTGCAGAGTCACAAATTATTTGGAACAATAACTATAGCATTGCCGATTTGCAACATGAGGAGGCACAATTACCCGAGCCGAAATCTCTTCTTGATAAGCCTGGAAAGGAAATTGAAGTTGTTGAGATCCGTAACCACCTGATTGCAACTCATTACATATACAATACCTTGCTAAGTCAGAACAAGAAATAAACGTTGACAATATAAAGAAGAATCATCGTATTCTTTTGAAAGATACACTACAGGAGAGAGTTAATGTGTGGGGCCAAATCCAGCAAGCGGGAATGTTTTGAACCGTGTCAATGCAGGCAGCAGGTTATCATTTGACCATTTATCCGGTAAGTTTTAGTTTATTAATCCCCGCTTGTCAAGTTCGAGGCTCAATTTCTGTTCTCTCCTAGTATGGAGAGGAAGTACCCGCGTTGACGGAAAGGTTTGTGCAATTTTTACAACAAGACTCCCACTAGCGATAATATTGATGATCATGAACCATTTCAAGTCCATCCTCTTATGAACACATGTCGCGTGCTTTCGTCCTTCCTTCATATTCATCCATTCTACGATGGTAATGGACGTGTTGGACGTTCACTCATGGCGCTTTCTCTTGCCCGTGATGGTTTTCCACCCCTTGTTTTTCAACAACTTGATCGAAAAGAATATGCGGATGTATTGTATAAAGCTCAAGCAGAAAAGGATATGGTTCCGTTATATAACATAGTGATAGGAACCATCTTTGATATTTTAGCATCATATATGCCCATTAGATAATGATATGTACATATCAGATAATAAAATACATGTATGTCTATCATACCAACTCAGGCGATTATTCCTCCAATGAAATTAATCGCATCTTACTTTATTAATAAAGTTTTACTCATGATTCGAATATATGTTTTTTAAATGTGGTGTGGTGATACATCGGAATATTAATAAATTTTATAAGCATAATGTCGCGACATATTTGTAGCAATCTTACCAATGACTTTATCTGATAAATTAACAGCACAATTTGACCTTTAGATGGCGTAAATTAGGACAGAATCCAGCGATTCCATACATTCACTTGTAATTAAACAATTAAATTAATTTTTAATTGACTAAGGTTGCGTCTAAATTTTATTCTCATCCAAATCGAATGACAATTTAAGCACACCATTTTAACGCGCTTTGTTGGCAGCGCATTTGATGCCAACAAAGTTGATTTCGACTTTACAAATGATCAAACGTAGAAGAAAAGATTGGCAAAAGTTGTTAGACTGACTTTAATTATTTGGTTAATTGATCCAAGTTACAAAATTATATGTAATATTGCAACCAAGTTTAATTGGTACATTAAGCACAATTACAATTAGCAAAAATTTCCGTGAAAATTGACGTATTAACGTGAAATAGACACAAGCTTTTCTCATGTTGTTAGATCTTATTTTTATTCTAGTATGTGTTTATATTTTACTGTTCAGATGGTACAATATTGAAATGCAATCTATCTAGGAAAAAAACTTTACATATGTAATAACAATGATTTACTTATCTTCATTATATATTATATACTGAATAAAAATTTAAGAATGCTGTTTTGTTTCAGAGTAACTGCTCATTAGTGCCAAATTTACAGTATCGAGTCTCCATTATGAGATTAGACTGTAACCAATTTTTTACCAATCGTTTCAACTGCTTCGCACAGTCATGTTATTGTCACGTTATGTGGGCACACACTTTTCTATGAATGGGTAGATCTTACCAGTATAGATCTTAAACAATCAACTTCATATTAATGCCAGCGTAATAATGCAATAAATGATGGTACCGAAATATTGATCACATATGCGCCTAACGTAAATGCGGATAGCAAAGCAGCGTGTTTCGAATATTCTTTTGCATACGCATAATTACATCGGTACCAAAAAGAAGCAGCGGCGGTAGCAACCAACAAGTACACTTGGATGAGGGATCTCAACCTTTTGGTCATCATAAGTCGAGGAAAGTTTTTGCATTGAACAAATTCGGTAGACACGAGAATTTTCGGACATATCCATGTCGATATTACGACATAAGAATATTTTCCTAATAATAAACGTAACGTAATTATTATATGAGACAAACCTGCAAAATATAGCAATGAATTAATACTGTATTCAAGTTATTACCTGCAAATATCCCAATCACGTTCAGTATTGTAAATTTTCTAGAATATCCTTTATAAGTAGTCCATATAACAAGTAGACCGAAGAAAACCTCAATACTCGAGCAAATATATATAACAACTTTTGTTTCACCCTACCAATTAATTATGTATGTGGTTAATAATCGACATGCATCTTTCTTTATTTTCAAACCCGGCAATCTCACAGTCGTTTTATACACTTACATCCATCACTTTTAATAGTATAATTGGTATGATTAAAGGAGAAGCCATCAACGCAATAGGGATAATACAAACACATATTATCCAATAAGATAAAATAATTTTTCCTATTCTTGGCGATATAGGCGATTTCCGACTGTCATCCTCAACTTGCTGGATCTCCACGGACGTGTGAGCGGGATTGACCACTTCAACCGTTGTTAGTTCGTTTTCTTTATCCTCTTCATCGTCGGATGTTGGCCGAGTGAGTGACGGCCCATAGTCAGTTGGTGGAGTGCCGGGACGTTCCTGAGAAACTGACATACTAACAGAAAAAGATTGACTGCTTTCGTTTTATTTCATATTTATACTGTTGACAACGCTTTATCATTCCCGTTTTAGGATTACCTCAATGGGTGTAACGGTAAACGCCCGTGTCATTTAACTTTTGCTACTTATATTTTTGCGGTGACGTAATTTTGCATGATGTCGACAAATTTGAGGTTCAAGCAACTTGAGTTACGGCTGTCGAAACAATGAAGCTTTTACTTAATAAAGAGGCCTGTAATTATAGACGTTTCCATGGGTCGCAAACATGGGTGCATAAAGATGTTGATATGACATAGGGAGAGGGTTGATCGGATATGAATAATGAGATACATTAAGCCCTCGAGAACTAGGAGTTTTTTTGGGGGGAGTGTAGACGATCTTTTAACTTCATACTGGAATGAATTAACATATCAGGATTCTACTATGAAACATGTGCTACCATCAACATGGCGCAGACATCTTTATGAGTTTGCTTTAATTAATAATGCTGAGTAGAAAGCTTGATGAAAAAATGTAGAACAAGAATATCGCTAGATGCTTAACATGAAAAGAAAGTAATATATTTTGTTCCATAACTTGCACGCAGTTAATTGTCGATTTAATCAAAATTCTAGGGAATATTTTGGATGCACCAGCACAAGTTAATCCGAAAGAAAGAAAAGTCGTTGGGATTAATACTAAGTATTTGATAAACAACATACTGCAGACAATAAACATGATTACTATAAAATTATTAATGTTATTAATATCAAATAAACCATAAACCAACACGATATAGATATCAAAGTATTCGGAAACATTTGTTTCTCGTACAATTACTACCAAAAACCTGTAAAAATACTCTTACTAACCGCCCTTGACCTAGTTGTTCAAATTTAAAGAAATATTATGCAAACAATATCAGCTTACTAATGTCTTAAACTAGTACTAAATGGTGTACATTAATATCTGAATATATTTTGGCTTTTTATAATAGATTTCAGCCCAAGTCATACATTATACATTAACTAAGCAATGTTGAAAAGGACAGCTACATAAATTTCCCTATTAAAGTACCAAAAGACTCTACAAACCATAATATTTGATAAAAGTTACTGATAAAACGTGGTTGATAAATTTTGAGAAAACAATTCACCTTAACCGATTTTAATTTTAAGCAAAATAGTTAAAGCGGGGGTATTTTTTACTCCCCTTTAAAGCCATAGTATCAACCTGCTCAATTTTTATTGTTACAGTATATAATACTAGTATTCATAAGAAGCATTTCGAAATAAACGTTTAATAAAAATAACTCTAGTTTACATTGTCAGTACTGTGTGCTGTTAATAATGGTTGGGCATCTCTTATGTCAACGTTTAAAAAAATTACAAAGTTGATAACGGGATTGGGGTAATAGTAAGGGAAGCGCAGCTGTTGTTTTTCAGTCCCGCATAATTTGTGTGGAACAATTTTGATGCGGCGCCATTCCAATGTCGACAGCGTCTACGGACGGCTTCTGGAACACATATAATAACTGGTTTCTAGATTAGCTCGACACTAGTCTCAATATTGAGAAGCCTGCAAACAACCACTGTAGAGATACATTACTAAATGTTGGGGCTATGTCGTACTTTTGGGGACAAGCCTTTTCTTAATAGTCAATAACTCGGGCTGATAATTAATCTTTGTAATAGATCTCCGCCACAATGAATGTTCGTATTGTGGAGAATCTTTTGCTTCTAATCAAACCAACCATTACTACAGAATGCCTTTTTATGGAAACTATTCGGGTCTCGGTTATGAGAAATATGCTTAAGCGTTGATAGTTTTACATAATTATGTGGTACAAAAGTATTGTGTAGTTTCGTGGAAGGATAATAAATGAATGAACAAATAATTCATCGATAGAAGTAATCAAGAATTGTTCAAAAAGTGTGCCGCCTTGACCGGAGCAAAGCATTAAATAATACATCAAGGGACGTTTATAAAAATAATAATATTGAAACAAGCACCAGTCTAGCCATTATTCAATATTTTCAATCCAATAAAATTGATTGATGAAAGTCATTAACTTTAATATTAAGCATGATTAATTGATCAACTTATTGATATTTCGCTATGTATCATATGATATATGATTAAAATACACTATACGGTTTTTGTGCATATATCGCCCTGTGCAAAAACTTGTCGGATTTTTTGTCAAGAGAGTCAGAGTCCTGCGTAGATTGACGAAATGCTGGCGCAATGGAAAGCGTTTATGATCGTAACTGAAAATTGTCCGCTCATATAACATTTTAATCGAAATAGATCTCATTAATCCCCATTACGTAAAAGCCGCTGTTGTCAATAATTTACTGGAAGCGTAAAATACTGTGAATCGTTACTGTGACAAATGCATAAACAACAAATTTCCTGTTAAACTTTGTTTGGTTTACAATTTATAATTGGGGGAAAGGCGTAGCCATTCTGTGATTAAATTCTAGACCAATTCGTATTTATACTTTTGATTCAAAATAAAATCTTTTTAAATACGTCGATTTTAAACGGAAAGTTTTGTTTAAACCATTTTCAACTAAAAATTGCAGTCCAAGATAGACTAATTACTACAGTTAGATGTTCCTCATATACAGTATATAATAATGTCTTTACCTTTTAACAAACAAATCGATCAAGAGCAATCAAAGAATCTGTAAGTATTTGTTCTTTGTCATCTTTATTACACATACCTACATTGAACGCCAAAAGTGTTCTTGATTGACAATCGGTAATTATCAGTTTCTTTCAATAAGATATGAAACATCATTGCTTAAACCTTTGAATGGATGTACAATGAATCAAGACCAGATCGGGTAAAAATGACAATAATAATAATTGGGACTTTGTCCAATAGCTGCATGCTCGGCTTTTGCAAAGTCATTGTCCGCGGATGCCAAGCAAGTACCGAATTTGAAAGTCAAACATGAAAACCAGCAATTATTAGCGAATGCATAATCTTGCTCAAGGATTATCGAAACAAGTGGTATTAGTACGATTCAGACAGGACATTCATTTTCTCTGGCTTTCCGCATTATTAGAAATCAGAGTCCCAGCAAAGCTAACCATAGCGAGTTGAACAATGATACAACTTGCAGATGGCGCACAGCAGCCTATTCACAGCCTTCTATGTTTCTATGTGGAAATGTTGCAGAAAATACATTCCGGCATATACCAAATAAGTCCAACTCGTACCAAACCTGCAAGTCTCCATCTGGGATATGGACACGAGACTGATTTTTCAGAAACGATTACACTTAGGGGGGGGGACATAGGTACGCCAATCAAACTGGCGAGTGCAACACTATATTGTAACACACTTTCAATGATGTGTCCCTCCACTATGCCTCAAAGTAGCTTTGATGTACCAAATGCGATGTGAATGTTATGCGGGTGTTGTCCTGAATTACATTCACTGTTACGCCGCACTACATAGTGATACAAGACGTAGATGATGAATTAAACAGATGAGAGCCAGCACTTCGGAACAGTTTTGATTCCTTTCAAACACAGGCGCATGACCCTTGGCGGCTTTATGGAAAAGCTGCCTCCAATAACAAGTAATCATGCTTCCGCTATAGTAATAGGTTGAACAACAAATATTGTATTTCAATTTGTGATGTTTATTAATAATCTGGTTTTACAATAACATGTAAAAGTCTCGTGAGTAAACTTGAGATTGGAAATTACAATAATAGATTGTTCGACGTTATGCCTAACTGCGCGATAATTGCCATTGTAATAATCCTTCTTCGGTGTCTATTAGATATTCAATGGGAAGAGGTCTCGAGTCATTGTTAGATCTAAATATCTGTTATATCTGATTGGTTCCTATCTCGCGTAAACAAAGCCTAAATGGCTAAAAGCATATTAACCAATTATAGCTATCGCCATTTTTTATACTCGGATTGCCTTACTTTTTTATTAACGGTAAGAAAACATTCATCTCAGACGTACTGGTACAGTTAGTTCAACTGTCACCCCATTTTCAACTACATGACGTAATCACAATATCAACATTTACAATAGAAGGCAATATTAATATATAAATGCAGATCATTAAGTGATCACAATTGGCTGGTATGACCTCATAAAATCCATAAATCAGGCAACAATTACCCCGACTCTCCCTTTACCCCGAATTCTTCTTTCCTTAATCTTTTTTACGACGTTTTTTTTGCAAATTTTGTTTATACAATTAATCTTACACATTTTACGCTCATTGTACATAATTTCATAACATTACATATCCCATAACCATTCTCATAACGAACAAACACATTCTCATCAAACGACCCAGTTCATCTTTCTAATACATTTAGTCCGATATACTACTGCGGGATAATTATAATACTTTCACTAATCTTAATTCTCAAAAAATCATAGTCAAGACCCTTAATTCTTCTCGTGAGTGGTTTTTACCATCATTTACTTGTGTTTCTAGTAGAATCATTAGATAATAAACTTTGCCACCGTTCTATCTTTGTCCTGTGACTAATTGTTGACATGATTACACTCAATACATCAATAGCAATGCCAAAAGAGAAGCAACGTTGGTTACTTAATGAAGTGCCTCCCGAGGTGTGGGAAAAGGCCAATGAAGATAAAGTACAAAAATGGAGTTGTCGGGAGAAAAAGCCACGGAAGAATCCTTATCCTGTGCGCTCACCATCAAAGACGAGAGATCCGCAGAGCATAACTTTCAAGTGTACAGTATATGATATATTCAAAGAAAATCCACAAGCGCTATTAGATAAAGATGTATGGAAAAATAAGAAAGCAACAAGACCTCGAATAAAACATCAGTCTGTATTTGAGACGACTATAGACAAGACTAGACCAGCACCACCTCCTATGGCATGGGACGATCTTGTTAGACATGTTGACGATCTTGAATTAGATAATTCTAGCTTGGAAATCATGAAGAAACCCAAAGTGACTTGGCGGGGTGAGCCGTCAGATGTATCTAATCTGCCACATATCGATTCTCTACATCGTGTTGAGCGACAAGTGATCTCTATACTACGTATGACGCCAGACGCATATATGCAGACGAAGTACGTTATTTTGGCTGCTGCGAGAGAATATGAAGAGAGAAATTTGTTATTCCGGAAGGTAGATGCGCAAAGGGTAGTACGTATTGATGTTAGTAAGGCTTGCAAATTGTGGGAATTCTTCCGGCAAGCAGGCTGGATCAAAGCATAGGAGTGATGATGTATTGATATATAATATGCCATTGTGACGAGACATTAGAGTAGGAAAGTGATTGCACTCGAATCTGTGGGTTTAATGCTTCTCGTGGACATTTTTGCTCAATGGACGTTCGCTATTATTACGACTTGCATTATATAGTTTAGAGATAATTTTACATAGTTTTAGAAGTCGGGCATTCCTAATAATTGCAAATATATGAACAGCGATTCCTTCTTATCTGATGTTATTTCTGCATGAATTAGCATCTTGCGAAATAAACAAAAAGTAGTATCCCGATGGGATGTATTAACTGTGTATTGATGGAGGCGTTGATTGTTAGGGTTGTGTGACCAGATCTGCAATAAACTCAGGGAGATGTCGGGAAGAAGCACAAAAAAAAAAAGATCATTAATATCACACCAAAAGATATCATAAACATAAACATAATCAATTATTTTTAGACTTATCAAACATAGCTGATGTAATGGTTACAAGACGACTGTTGTAAAGTAAGACATTGGTTGCAGATTAACTTGCAAACCACCTTCTATACCATCTATTAACAATATAGTCACAAGATCAATGTACGCCAAGTGTTACTTGTCACAATATATATAGTTTACGGGGGGAACAATATTTGACCAAAAGGTAATTACGCTCATTGATTTACATGCCAAATAAGCAAATTAAGTTTTATCTTACTGCATATTTATTTTGGACTTTAATCGACGTTTGTACGTCATTATAATCAAAGGACACCACCGTATCGGTTGCAATATGTATTAAATTGTGATGCTCGTAAAAATGATGATACAAACATATAATATAATTACCGAAAATCTGCATACTGTATCTCAATGGTAGTAGTATTTTAAGGCATCTATGCAAACTTAATTATAGCAAGTGAAGGAATATGCCCATGCGCTATTATAACGAGCGCTTTTTTTAGTAAATTCTCACGCTAAAAATGCCAATCAAATGCTTTAATTAGTAAAACCATCTTATTTTCCTCATTTGATCTCGCACAATAATCAAAACTGCCCTTAAAACCGGACCACTTACAGTGAAGTACATTCAAACTGTTATCAGTATCAATCAAGAAAATCTTTTTTGGATGAGCTGCGTCAAAACAAGCTTTTCAATAGATTACGATAACACTAACACTGGTAATTCTGATATTGCGTAAAGTATGGAACCATTTAACAGAAACTCGGCTGGCATACAAAGTTTCTATCTGCATTGTTGCAGTAGTTATCCCAGCGTGCCCATTCCTCATATTAGTATTAGTGGGAAAACTCTTTTACCATAAGAAATAATAGAAGAATCTATATTCTCATCATAGTTACAAAAACGTTGAAACATGTAGTCATCGAGCGTTTGTTGTCTCCTACTACTTATCATGTATAAATAAATACTCGATTAGTATATTTCAGGGGAGAAGCGGTTACTGTATCACTTATGAGTTTCACAAACTTATCAACTAATTACTATATTTCCGCTGATTCGCATGCATGTGTTTAATTAAACTATAAATTGTTGCTTGTCAAATTTGTTTCTATTTCCGTATATAGGTATGAGCCAGTTCACCAACATTATTAGGTGTTGATTTCCAAATTTGGTTTATTAGCCTAAGGCTTGTCGTTCGCACTTCCAGAAAGGCTACACCAACCGAACGGCAAATCTTTTTATAATTGCATGCGGAACAAACAGGCGCATATAATTCGTAACAAAGGAATTATGTGAAAATGTACCAAGTTAGTTTTAGTACATGGTTGTAGCTGAACAATAAGTCTGACGCAGTTGACTACACTGAATATAGCTAGTATTAACCATGTATACTGCATAGTAATAGTTGGTTTAAAACAATAATCTTTTTACGTGCTCGCTTTCGTGGCATAGACAATTCAGAGAAACCACTAAAGGCCTCATTCTCTAATGGCATTAAATATTCATATTCCTTTGTCAAGCTATTTTTGGCATTTATAAATTGTTCATTACTGTTTTGTCTGATAATAAAAGTCCATATGTTTCAAATGAAAGACGTGCCACAAAGATGTGTCAAACCTTTTGACTTTGCTCAATTGAGTGTACAGGTAATAATAAGAATCAGAACACCATCAACAGAACAAATATCAACTTATTGAAGAAAAGTTCAGGTTATTTATGATGTTTTATAATACAACGTCTACTATTATATGGGTTATCATGATAAATATCAACTCGATAACTTAACTCGGCTAGGAATTGACTAAATAAAAAAGGTTTATTTCAAACAATTGGTTGTTGACTGCAACCAAGATAATAAAGTTTTTAAATTTACACTTTATTTCTCTCAAACAAGTGTAAATTCAAGTCGTGTACATTAAAGTTTTTGTTTTATTTCAACGTTGGTTTCAATTACGTATGAAGAAGCTAAACGTTGTTGTCATTATAATTACAAGCTGCCTTATATTAATACTAATACAATGACCAGACATGAAATAAAAAAGTACAAATAATATATATAGTACAGTCAAACTTCGATATAGTAAAGTCCGCGGGACGAGGATTGTTTTTCACAATATCGAATATATTAAATATAATATTAAATAGTAAAATTTTAATTTTATTTAGAAAAAATTTTTCATGTAGGCTTTATTATATCGAGTCTTCACTATATCGAGGTTTGAAATAATAACCTAATGTAAATTTGCTTTTTAGAATTATTGTAATGAGTAAAATTTTAAATTCATAAACAACAACAATTATGATTAAAACTTAATTGGCTGTTTAGTTAACTTCAATTGAAGCTCATGGCTATTGAAAATAGGCTTTAGTTTGAGATTAAAGTTGGTTGCACAGGTGTTTTCCCATCATTACTATCACGATGTAAATGGAAAGGAAATAGTATGTTAATGTTGGAATATAGCATTATTATTATTATTATTATTATTATTATTATTATTATTATTATTATTATTATTATTATTATTATTATTATTATT